CCCCAAAACCCCAAAACCCCAAAACCCCGAGAGAATAAAATTTTCTAATTGTTAAAAATGAGTAATTTAAATTTCTAATTCAAACAGAAACTAAAAGCAAATTTCCTGCAAAATTTAGTAATCTCTTCAAATGAAATCATTCGGCCAAAATTTACAAGCTTTAGAGCTAGATGAGACGCCTGTTGTTCAATACTAGTCATACCATTAGAGGCACTAAGTGAGAATAAATGGGAGAGTATATGATCATTTCAAACCGCAAAAATACAGGTTAGATCAAAAGTTTATAGAAATAATGGAAATCATTGAGCATCACTATCGAGGGGTATTTTACTCTAAACCAGACTAAGTAAGAATAGAATAGTGGATGAAGAAATTATGTGATAATTGCTGCGAGAAAGTGCCTCTAATGAAAAATAGGAATAGATACGCAAAGCTACTTAAGCTGTGCATTATAAATATCAAAAGACTGGAGGGAGTTTTTAAGAAAATGCCTCCAAGTGATGGAGAGGACCTTAGAATGATTTAAAATCATGAAATACTGGATATTGAGCATCAAACATAATGTAACAACAAGAAACAGAAGAAGAGTCAGAAGAAAGCCCTCGAACTTTATCAATTAAATTCTTAGAAGGCAAAATTTAATATTGAATCTCATAGGAATCACGGGTAATCAGATCAAACTCTTGGATAGTCTCAAACAAGAGTCGTAGGAACTGTGCTCAGAGGAGCGAATGGTAAAATGACTTTTATTGAAGATAAAAGTAACAACTCTAGAACTAGGAATGGTTCTGCCCAGTATGATGAGTATTTCAAAGCTGCTCAAAGTTTGACACCAATTAGTAACAACAAGTCTAAAAGTAGAGTTTAATAGTATTAGACTGTTTCTTCAATTAAGAGAAAGATAGATTCCAAAGAAAATACTTTTTTTGATCCAACTATATCTCCAATAAATTAGAAGAGCAATGCTGGTACAACTCATACTTCAGTTAACCACACTGCTGTCAAATCCTTTGTAAATGGATAGAGCTCAGTTGTTTAATAAAAATAACTGGTATAAGAGCATATTAAAAACAGCTAGCAAAAGATTTAATAGAAAAAGCACAATTTCTTATTTGAGGTGAATGCAGACTCTTAATATAAAGCCAAATAACCATAAAATGCCACTCTCAATCAAAGGTCTCACTCTTATGTTGATCTATAAATTTAAAACATTCCACCTTTGACTTAAAATAGACCTAGTGGTACTTAGCCTATATCTCATTTTACCAGTGTCTAAGTTGAAACTTATAGAACCTAAGCATCTAACGAAACAAAAAGAACAAGAAGGTCAAGAGCTGAAAGATAAGCATGCAGAAGTTAGTCTGCCAATTCTGTGTCTTCTGGTGTAGAAACTGATAGTTTTCATGGAGGTATTGGAAGTTTAAAAAGAGTTCCGATCTATAAACAAAATCATGAATAATCATAAGTTGATAATAATCATAATAGAATTCCAAATAATTAACAGAGGAAAGTGTTTAATGAAAAAACTGGAAATATTATCAACCAAAGATAAGGTGCTTCTCATAAATACTCAAATAGCAATTAGAATCACCACCTTTTCTAGCTAGCATCTTAATCTTCCACTCCTAACTCTGAGTATTTGTCCCCAAACTTTTTAAAAAATCATAGCTAATCTAACAACAATTTTAACGTCAAAAACGTACCAAGAATACAAATTGAGAGAATAGATGAATCTATAAGGAATTTAAAGAACACTCAAAGTTCAGGCTTATTTTCTCCAGCATCAAGTCATTATAATTCTAATGACATAATCGAAATCATATAAAGTGCAGAGGTAATATAGACATTAAAAGAACTTCAAGATTTAAGAAATGAAACACAGAGATTATTGTCCAAAAGAGATAAGATACTCAAGCATAAACATATCAGATGATAAGATTATTAAATCTCTCTTGAATTCCATAACATGATAAGCTTTAAATTAGTTATTAAAATTTGTTAAGAATAAGATTTGAAGAAGATTAATAACCTTTAATTTCTTAATTATAGTGGATTCACTTCAATTTAGAGCTAATTTTGGATAAGTATTTCCATTCATTCTTCATAAAGTCACTAATTTGGTATTCATCAAGAGAGTCTTCCTTTTCATCTTTATCTCTTTAGCTTCTCTTGCCAATATTAGATCCAGACCCAACAGTATTATTCTCTTAGCTTTCTTTTTCTTTCTTAATAAGATCTTTAGACCTATCAACAGCTTCGAGGCAAGTTGAGTCATTGATATCTATTTAGAACTTCTTTTTATCATAGTTTTTCTCCAAGTAAGGTAACTCCTTCTTTATTAATTCCATTTTCAAATCAATTAAGGGTTTCTTGTCTTCATTCGACTCTTATCCTAAAGCTTCATCTCTGTTCACTTAATCCTCTAATGGATTCTTAGCAAATAGGCGTTTTGACAGAGAATCATGTGCATCAGAGTCATTCTCCTCTTCTGCATCTGAGTCTCTGATTTTATCTAATATTTTATCGTCACTCCCTATGGTCATTCCAAGATCTATATAAATGTTATTAAGCCAAATTATACATACAATAGCTAAGAGTAGGAATGTCCTTTGATAGCTAAGGCTTATCACTAAGGGCTTTCAAAATTTGATTAATTTGCTTTTCCCGCTTTTTCTTTTCTTGCTTTCTATCTTTAATTGACTCTTGAACAAGAAATTCTAACTTATTAATGTAATTCAGTAGATACAAATTTTACGCTTGAATTCCTATCAAATTCTATTTTTCGACGTCATTTTTCTAAGACTAGTTGCTGTGATTTCCATTTTGGTTAATACTTACGCTATTGTAGATTGTCCCGCTGCTTACTTTCTATTAAGATTATCTTTTAATGTTTGCTTGTGGTTATATGCTATATTAAGCTTGAGGCACCTACTGCTATTACGGTGTTTTCTTTTGAACTTATATTGAATTAGATTAGTAAACTGCCTATTGTTAGTTCATCTGAGTTTGATAATTTATCATTGGCTATGCTTGCTAGTTTATTTATTACTGTTACTATTGCATTTACATAGGAGGAGGATGACCTTGTATCTTAATCTAAGTTTGTTGTTGTTATTAGGGATTATATGAAATTTATGGGTTATCCATGTTGTTGTTATTGCTGTAAGAAGGAGGCATTTACTAATAATATTGCTGGTGATTCATGTTTATATTTTACTGCATATTATTTGTATGCTAAGGTAGTTATTAGTGCTAGGATATGTTTTGTTGATTCATAGATTATTGCTATTACATTTGATGAATATAGTTTTAGTTATAATTGGTGCCATTTTATGCACTGCTAAAGATTTATTAATTATCCATTTTATTATAATTTAGCAAAAAATTAAAATATTAGTAGCCCGGGGTTTTGGGGTTTTGGGGTTTTGGGG